AGCGTCCGTGTGTCTTTCTAGGGTAATGTGCTGTGTGTCTGGTCAAGGGCAGAGAGAGCATGCTGTCTCTCTCACACATAGCCAGGGGAGATGCCAATCTGCACTCAAAGCATTAAGAGACACCCAAATGGAGATACTCAGTAAGAGGCCAATAAATGAATTGCTGAACTCTGTAGAAAGAGCTGCAGAGCCCAAGTATACAGAAGAAATGTAAAACAAAACAAAACAAAACAAAGTCCTTCTGAACTCTTGGGGACCTGCCCATTAATTAGCTCAGTTGTTTAAGTGCCTGCTTAAGCAAAGCAGTCAGGCTCAGGATGCTGTGGTTTGATCCCCAGATCCTCACGCCTTACCAGACCTGCCCTTAAGGCATCCTGAGTCAGCAAAAAAAAAAAATCCTTTAGAAGCAATGTGTGGCTACTGCTGTGAATGGCAATACCCCGGCACAAGGACAAGATGAAGGCCCAGGACACAGCCCTGAAGAGCAACCACACCTGAGAGGTCAGGGAGAACAGAAGCCCGACTCTGAAACTGCACCTTAACCTTGTACTGTCTATGGTTCATGGTGGGTCGGACGCCCACAGCAGGGCGGCTCACCTGTGGGTCATCATCCTCCATGTCATTGAAGTCTGTCTGGGTCTTCAGTAACAGCTGCATCACGTCGGACGCATCCTGCATGAACTAGAATGTGAAGGAAAGTAGCCCTGGTATCAGTAGTGTAGAGCAGATCACAGACTATGTTGCTTAACAATAAAACTGAATGTGCTGTATATCTGGCGAAAAAGATAGACATTTCCCACACAGCTCATGACCCTCGGCCATCCATCCATCCATCCATCCTTCCATCCATCCATCCATCCATCCATCCATCCATCCATCCATCCATCCATCCACCTGTGTATTTATTTATTTCTTGGTCTTTTTGAGTCAGGGTTTTGCTGTGTAGCCCAGGCTGGCCTCGAGCTCACAGCCTTCCTCTTCCCTTAGCCTCCCAAGTACTGGGATTACAGATTTGTACCACCATGCCATGCTAAAACTATTATACTGAAAAATCTTCATTTATAAAAAGGTTAAAAGACTTTATAATCATCTTTCTATAAAAAATTATTTTCTACTAAGGACCAAAGTGAACTGCAGTAGAAAAAAATTTGTAACAATATGAAGTTTTTACAGGCTTCAAACAGGAAAAATTCAAATCTAGAAAGAAAATTTTGAGTTGCTCGACATAATTCATGGCACAGAGATTTCATTTTGTAGGATCTGCATTTAACTCTCCACAGTTCTGGCACTCTCCACTATATTATCAAATTGGGCAGTGTTTCAAACTAGTGTGAAATACAGAGAATGGAAAACGCCCCTGTTTGGTGGCTTAGCCTGCCCCAGAAAGCAAAGCTGCTGGCTTTGGAGAGGCAAGACAGATGGGTCCTGTCGGGGATAGAACTCAGCAGCACAAAGCCTGCCTGGCAAGTGCAAGGTCCTGAGTTGGCTTCCTGGCCAAAAGAAAGAAAGAAAAGAGAAACAGATTTTGGACTAGGGTCTGTGTAGACAGAGGGTCAGAACATGGAAGGTCAAGGACAGAGCAACTTATTTTGGCTCAGGCTGGAGAGTTCCGAGATGTTGCCCAGCGGACCTTGCCAGTTACTCAAGGAAAAGTTCCATGCAGACAGACTTCCCTCGCAAGACACCTACTGCCTTTTAGGGTTATATGGGAAAGCAACTTACATGGTTCTAAGCACATGTTCTAAGCACACATAAGTAGGATCCTTTTTTTTTTT